CCCAAATAAACAGAATTTGTTCTTTTAAACATCCTTGATAACAGGAGGTGTAAACTAGCTCCCAGGGTGAGGGGCTCCTTTCCCTTCCTATGACCCTTTCACCTTTCTCCTCTTTCCATCCTGCTTCATCCCCACTTCACAGATGAGACCACTGAGGCTCAGCGACTTTACCTGTACTATTATTTGGAAAGATGTCTGACTAAAACTACACTGATCAGGGGCTGGAGAGATGACTCAGAGGTTAAAAGCACTGACTGCTCTTCCAGAGGTCCTGAGTTCAATTCCCAGCACCCACATGGTGGCTCACAACCATCTGTAATGAGATCTGGCACCCTCTTCTGTGTACGTAATAATTAAATAAATCTTTAAAAAAAAAAACCTACACTGATCAAATTCTCACCTTCAGTATCCTGGGGATCACTCCCCTTTACATGGTTCAAGGCAGACGAAGGAGGTTAGCGGAGAGTGAAAGACAGCTGAAGGAACGGTGAAGCAGACATGGCTCGGACACATCCTCACACAAATTCTCCCTTTGGGCAATCAACACTATAGCTGACAGATCACCTTACTGTCTGTTTGAGCACTAGACACAAGAATGTCTCGAGTGCTGGGAGGCTCGGCGGTGGTAGTACATGCCTTTAATCCCAGAGAATGTCTGTGGCGAGCTTAGCCTGGAATAATGCAAGTGTTCAGTGAAGGCAGGTGAATAGTCACTCCCTTGGTTTACATCTGGAGAGAGCCTCCACTCAAGCACCAGTCTTCTTGGTCTACACAAGAGAAAATGAATTTCTTGAGGCACTATAGACTCACAAAGTTTAAGTAGCTATTTAATTGGCAGCTTAAAACAATTCGCACAAGTTAAATATAACAAGGGCATTTGTGCACCAAGAGCTGAGAGCTAGTGGAGAACCCAGTCTCTTTTTGCAAGTGGAGAGCCCATGTGGAATGCAAATGGAGTCACCCTTGGTCCTGGGCAAGCAAGGCGACTTTTGGTTTCTACTTTTATTTCGGTAAATAAAATACTCTCTGTCTTAGCTGGGTTTTCTATTGCTGTGATGAAACACCATGACTGTAAACAACTCACGGAGGAAAGGGTTTATTTCAGCTTATAACTCTCAGGTTATAGTCCATTGCTGAAGGAAGCCAGGGCAGGAAATCAAACAGCAGGGACCTGGAGGCAGGAGCTGACGCAGAGGCCATAGAAGGGTGCTGCTTACAGACTTACTTGCTCCTTATGGCTTGCTCAGCCTGCTTTCTTATAGAACCCAGGACCACCAGTCCAGGGGTAGCACCCCCTCACAGTGGGTTGGGCCCTCCCCCATGAATCACTAATTTTAAAAATGTCCTACAGACTTGTCTACAGGTCAATCTGGTGGGGGCGTTTTCTCAACTGCGGTTTTTCTCAGTTGAGTCCCCTCTTCTAAAACAACTCAAGCCTGTGTCAAGTTGACACTGTCTTTGTTCTCAGCCAGTGGGGTTTCTATAAATTTGCTTTCATCACAGGCTATTTGCTTGTCTCCAGCTCCCTCTTTTAAAGTGGGAGCTTCCTTGAGAACAAGTCCCACACCTGCTGCCTCTATAACCCTGCACTGAGCACTAGCTGTGTAGCAGACTCATAAGCAGGGTTCAGAATTAATATAGCTCCTTTTTGCTAACATGAATTCTTATCTACACTCACACTTTTAGTGGCAACATGGTGGGATTCCAATGGGGGTTTACTGAGCTCCAGTGCTGTCATTTTAGAGTGTGTGCCCATGGAATACCCAGTTTGGCAAATTCAAAGATCCAGTATGGGTCCCAGGTAGGCCTCCCTTCAACTTCCTGTCCTCCCCCAACCCTTTACCATTCTCCCATTCTTTTTGTTTGTTTGTTTGTTTGTTTGTTTGTTTTTTCGAGACAGGGTTTCTCTGTGTAGCTTTGCGCCTTTCCTGGAACTCACTCTGCAGACCAGGCTGGCCTCGAACTCACAGAGATCCGCCTGCCTCTGCCTCTCAAGTGCTGGGATTAAAGGCGTGCACCACCACCACCGCCCAGCCCATTCTCCCATTCTTATTCGCCTCTCTAACTTCATCATTTTGTTAGAAAAAAGAAAGTAACCACGCCCAATAATCACTAAGGACGATAAACACCTGTCATGCATCACTGATGACAAGCCCCTCCCAGCTGTCAAGATCCTCCCAGGAGAGAACGCAAGGCAGTGACAGTAGTAATTAGTATTATTCATTAACAGAGCTCAATAATAACTATGATGAGCCCAAAGACCAAGTTACGCTCCTAGGGGTTGGGCTTAGGAAAGTTCTGGAGGTGACATTTGAGCTAGGATGATTGATAGATAAGGACTTGACTTATGACAAACAAGAATGCCCACATTCAGAGAAGAAAGGGAAAGGAATTCCACGTTCCAGGCACAGCCGAGCTGGGCAAGTTAAAAGCTACCGTACTCACCAATGTGCATGGAGTAGAGCAACCAGGACTGCCTGGATGGCTGCGACAAGTGAGGCCCAAGAGATGAGATGAAGGGGCAGGATGGAACTCATCACTCAAACTCAGAAGTCCCCACTCAGCTCTAAGTATCCCTCAGGACCCAATTAGCACATGCTTAGAGAACCAAAAATAAAGTCAAAATAAGGCTATATGAAAAGAAATGAGAATGGTTTCAATATACCTTTGACTTTTGTGCAATTTCAGAAAATATATTTTTATTTCAGGCCTCGGTATTGTTAAAAAAAAATATGGAATCACATGGAAACGAGCTGTGTAATCTCCTCAGTGTTTAAGATCTCTAAAATCTTTCCTGGGTGTTATGGGTTGAACATGAAATGTGTGCGCTATGGGTTAGGTGTTCGGACCACTTGATCCCAAACTGGTGGTGCTGCCTGGGGAGGATTCAGAAACTTGAGAAGCTAGAATTTGGCTGAGGGAGGGAGGGTACTAGGGATGGGACGTAGGAATTATGACTTGATCTCTGTGTCTGTGTCTGTCTGTCCATCTGTCTTGTAGTTGGAAGTTTTCCTGGTCTCACTTGGCACCAAGGTCCCACAGCCATTTATAAAATTCCTATGTCCCGCCTGGTCCCGCAACCACTCAGACCCAAGTAAACACACAGGGGCTTATATCAATTACAAATTGCATGGCCATGGCCTATGAGTCACGCTTCTTGCTAGCTAGCTCTTATATCTTAAATTAACCCATTTCTATTCATCTGTAAGTTGCCACGTGGGCATGGCTTACCAGTCTGCTGGCATGTTGTTTCTTCGGTGGCGGCTGGAATCTGCTTTGCCTCTCCTTTCTCTTCCTGTCTGTCTGTTTGGATTTTCCACCTGCCTCTAAGCTGCCTTGCCATAGGCCAAACGGCTTTATTTATCAACCAATAAGAGCAACATATTTTCACAGCATACAGAAAGACATTCCCCCATCACTGTCTGTCTGTCTGTCTGTCTATCTGTCTCTCTCTCTCTCTCTCTCTCTCTCTCTCTCTCTCTCTCTCTCTCTCTCTCTCTCTCATCTGCAAAGCTGTGAGAAATCTCAGCTGCATACTCTGCCATACTTTCTCCACCATGATAACAGTACCCTCAAACAGTGAACAGTGAACTGGAATAAATCCTCCTTCCAGTTACATTAGCCAGGTATTTTATCACAGTGATGAGAAGTCAGTGGTGTGCCAGGCTTTAGACCTATTGCAGAAATTGTACACCAACAGCCCTCCCTTTGGGCTAGGCAGAGTGGGGTTAAAGCAGCTTGCAAAAATACTTTCTGCATGGCCCATAACTCTACCTTTTAACCCCCGTGGGGGAGCTAGCAGTGTATGGAGTCAGTTGTTTATCTGAAGGACCTCCAACTTGTGGCATTTAAGAATTGTGACAAATGAAAGAGACTCTCCCTGTAGCCCCAGAATTAGGAAACAGGGTCCTTGCAAAACATCAAGTTCTCTCTTCCTCCCTCTCTCCCCTCTTGTTTGTGTGTGTGTGTGTGTGTGTGTGTGTGTGTGTGTTCCTAGGAATTGAACTTAGGGCCTCATGCCCTCTACCATTAAGCTATCATCCCAGCCCAAGTACTTGACTCTCTAAACTGAAATTAGCCATCTTCCCAGGAACCTACCAAGGGACAACAAACTGACCCTGCCACCCCTTACTCCCCTCCACACACACTTCCACCTCATTTCGTGTTAAGGTATTTTATGAGACACAATGTTCATGGCCAAACATTATGTGTGCCTCTCCCCTACCACTAGGGAAAAAAGAGGGTATATCCCCTGACATCCAAATTAAGGGTAGTCTGAGGTACACAATCTAGATTGGTAGGCATGTCTACAAGAAGGAGGAAATGAAAGTTCACACCTAGGCTGGTTGTCACTATTACCCCATTCCAAGCCCCACAGCAGTGGTGCAGCCTGAGAGGCATTCTGGGAGAGTTTAACATGGATATTACCAGCTAGGGTTCCCGAAAACGCAGGTTCCAAGCAGCAGAGATAATCACATCCAAGCAGAGGAAAACTACAGTGGCTTACTGTCTCATCAACAGGTGGCCGCACCCCACTAGATCTCCCGCTGCCTCCCCCTGTCCTCAGTTACAAGAACAATTATCACAGCGTAAGGAGGAGAGGAGTGGAAAAGCAGATGTGGTCCTTCCTACCGACACCCCGCTTCCAGATTGTAATTCCCTGAGGACACATTGCTTATCCCAGCATGGTCCTGGCCAGAGTCGGCCTCTAATACTTCGTTGAAAATGAAGGAGAGCCCCTCAGGCACCCCAGCTTTCCAGCTGTAGGAGTCCTCTTTGTGGGGCAGAGGAGGGTGTTCTTGGCACAGAGCCTGGGTTGGGTAACATGGCACTACCCAGGACGCACATGTGTGTATTTCTAGCAATTCTAGTTTCCGGGCGGGGCTTTGGCTTCCATGGTGTGCGGACCCGCCCCTGACTTTGCATTCTAGCTCGGTGGGTGGAAAGGTTTAAATTCTAGCAGCTCTCAGCTCTGCTGCGTGTTGGCTAAAGTCCTCCACCAGCGGCATGAAGCTGGGAGCCTTCCTTCTCTTGGTGTCCCTCGTCACCCTCAGCCTGGAGGTACGGGAGCTTCAGGCTGCAGTGAGACCACTGCAACTTCTAGGTAAGTCCAGGCAAAAGAGTAGCATTGTTCTGCCTTGAATGAAGGTATCAGAAGTAGGAGCTCCAGAACCAGTGCGCATGCGCACAGGAAGGGTGGAAAGGGAGAAAAGATTCTTTAGGATCCTCCTTGATGGTCACCTCTTAGTTCCCTAGAACAGAATCCCTCTTCTGCCTTTTCCTTCTCTCTCTTCATTTGCCTGGTCACCTACCTGGACTCTGCTCCGCAGCCAGTCTCCATCTGCCCGCATCGCCCTCTCTACCAGCTGCTTCCTGGAACTGTCTATTGAAAATCTCTCTCGATGTTAAACACGGGTCAGTCTCAAACTTCTTTACCAACAATATTCTCAAAAAGGGTTTTGTTGCCATAGGGTTTTTGTTGTTGTTTGTTTGTTTCTTTGTTTGTTTGAGACAGTCTCAGACTATAGCCCAAGCTGGCTGGGAACTTTCTGTGTAGCCCAGGCTGACCTCAAACCCATGGCACTCTTCCTGCCTCTTCCTTCTATGTTGGATACAAGCGGGGAGTATTCTTAACTCTGTGACCATTCTTCCTTAACCCTTTAGTGACACCTCCTCAAGTCCTGTCCCATTAAACTCCTGATGCATTCCTCTTCGGTCCTCTGGAGGAGACTCCTGACTCTTCTCTAGTAGTGTCTCACCTTTGCAGCCCTGACACTGTCTGCATCTCCACTGATCCTGCAGCCTGCTCTTGCTGTAAACCGTCTTTAGATCCAGCTTAGGCCTCTCTCCTTTATTCTCTTCCCCACTCCATCAATTTCCTGTTTTTGAAACATTGCATCTCTTCCGTCCTTTGCCCTCCTGTGGCCTCACTGTGTCCAGCCCTGATTACTCCACGACCCTGCCATTGCAATAGCTTCCCCTAAATCTCTCCCTGTCCCTCTCTTCCTTCTTCAATGTGGTGTTGAATCTTCTCTGCCTATGCTTTCACAGCAGATAATCTTTCCAAGTGACAGCAGTCACCTCATTCTCGCGGTCAAGTGGAATCCCAAATCTACAGGTCCTGGTCACCCGCCTGCCCTCTGCAGGGTCTGCTTCTCCTGCTTTACTTCTAGCCGCTCCCAAACTTGCTCAGCCCTCCCCTCGCCATTCCTCCTGGCTCCCCATATTCCAGGGGACACAGAGAGGCAAATGCTATGTCTAAGGGCAAATGCTATGTCTAAGGGACAAGACTTGAAGAGTCAGTCTAGAGTTGTGGGAGTGTGTCTGTAGGTCCTGTGTCCTAGGAAACACACCGGCCTCTCAGAAGCCCTGCCCTATTACATTTCCCCCTGGTGAAGTTTTACATCTTTCCTCATAGCACTCTATCTGCTTTCCTCTACTACTCTTCCTTGAGAATATTCCTGCACTTCAAGGCTTACTTGTTCTGATGAACAAGAAATAATGTCTATCTCCTCTGAGCCCTTTGAGCCCTCCGGATCTACCTTGCAGGACACTTGTGAAACACTGTTTTGTTTTCAGGACCTTACTTGCATTGGAAAGCTCAGGGAGCCTTAAACTTTTTGAGTGCTTTATATATAGCAAAAGCTCAGCACATAAACACTTAATGATTGACCAAACTATGGTGAATAGGGATGAGGGGTCTTCAACTTTCTCATCCCAGAGCAACAATAGCACCGGAAACCTTGGGGGTCGTGTTACAAAGCAGAGCTAGGGAGACTAACCTCACAGAGTGGCTGCAAGGCAACCAGCAGGTCAGAATCTCCCCTTCTCTGCTCCATGTCCTGTGGTGTGGGGAAAAGATTTCATTTAAGCAATGTTCAGCCTTCCTTTCCACAAATACAGTCCCTCTGTCCACATCTCTAAAGTAGGCTTGCTTTAATAAGATTGTGTGTGTGCCTTGTATTTAATAGAAATAAACAATAGCAGTTTACAAATTAGACTATGTATTGAGCTAAAAGAAACTAGTGAAATCTGTCTCTTTGTCTGTCTGTGAGAGGGTAAATTCATCGTATAGTCCAGGTTGGCCTTTAGCTGATGATCTGCCTGCCTCGGCCTATGAGTGCTGGGATTACAGGTTTATTGCACCTGCCTGGCATTCAAATGATTTTTTTCTGACTTAGGCACCTGCGCTGAGCTCTGCAGAGGTGACTGGGACTGTGGGCCAGGGGAGAAATGTGTCAGCAGCGGATGCAGTAGCATCTGTGCTACAAATTAAGAACAGGTAAAAACATCTGGCCCTTACTGTTACCTGAAATCTTGCCTAGACCGGGCAGGTTATACATTTGACCCCCATGGGACTTTCCAGAAATTGGTAGGATAGGATCCTATGTGTCTCCCTATATCTTCTCCCTTTTTTTCCCTCCATGAAGAAGATGCACCTACCACAGGATGGTTGCTTTCTGAACCTTTAGAATAATTTCCCAACCCAGGCTACCCAGGAGAAAAATCAGACAATATTTGAGCAAGAAGATAAAAATTACCCATTATTCATCACCCCAAAATGATATCTGTTTATGACTATGGTACATATTTAACTATGCACAAATATAAATAATATATTTAAAAACAAGAATCTTGTAGCCTTTTGATTCCTTAGCTATTTAATTTAAAGATAATGAATCAACAATTTTCATATCAGTACTTATCCTCAGTCCCATCCCACCATCTTTGCCTTCTCTGTAGTCCTTTGTATAGACTCTTCTACCAGCAATCTCTGTAAATATACATTTAAGGTATTTGTCTTATAATATTAACATGACCATAATGACTATTAAAATGTGCACACCCTTATTAATTCCTTTGGGATACAACCTGACATACATAATCAATGATCAAAGAACATTCTCATATGAGGCCCTTAATTCATATTGCCATATTGACCTAAGCAAATGCTTTCTCTGTTTAAAATTTGATGGAATTCATATTATTGTATAAACTTCCCTTTTTAATTCAGTACCCATTAAGTGAAAAAAATAATAAAGCACTACTGTGATTAAGTTGTATTAATATGGTTAAATTGTATTAGCAGATTTAGAATGTACTCTAAACACCAAACTGTTTGGGCCAACAGACTGATCAATGGGTAGAGGCTCCTGCTGCCAAGACTGTCGACCTGAGTTGATCCCTAAAATCCACATGGTGGAAGGAGAGAACTGGCTCCCAAAACCTGTCCTTTGTCCTCTCACATGTATGCCATAACATGCACATAACTGCACATACACAAACATAAACATGCACACAAATACTAATAAATTAAAACAAACCCAAACTGTTCATGTTCAGAACACTGTATTTGTCCCGCCCACCTGTAGTGCTTGCTGGCTTCTTGACACTGCTTTGGATTTCCAGAATTAAGAACTACTGTTTCTCATTGCATTCTGGGTAGCCAGGTACCCCCAAACAGCAGGTCTCAAGTATAATTTTTATATCTATTTCTCCAACTAAGAATGGTCTCAAGGGCCATCTTCTCTCATAATTGCTCCTCTCTTTCTATAGCTTCTACTTGGAAAAAATATGCCTGTCTGGAGTTCCGTGCCCAAGAAAGCAGTTGAAAATGGAGGCCATGGATGGAGATGACAAGGAGCACAGTGGGAAGGGACCAGGAGGTGTTTCTTTTAATAAATCATCATTGTAAAAGTCTCCATGCTACTTGAATTATTTGGTTGGAGGTTGTTACGGTTTGAACATGACATGTCTCCCACAGACTCATACGTTGAGGGCAATTGGTCCATAGTTGATGGCACTGTTTAGGAAGCAGGGGCATTACTGGAGGAGGTAGGTCACTGGGGCATTTTGCCCTGGGCCCACCTTGTTTCTTGCCACTTCCTGGTTGCTTTAGGTGGTCAGCTTCAACCAAACACACCTGTTGTCATGATAAATTCTGCTTTACTACAGAGCAAAGCAGGAGATCCAGCCAAGCACAACCCTAAACCTCTGAAATAGTGAGCCAAAATAAATCCTCCTTCCTTTAAACCGTGCCTCTCAGGTATCTAATCCTAACAGTGGAAAAGCTACTAAAGCCAATATGTTGAGTTATGATAGTATCTATCCTTGTGGATGGCAATGTGAGTCCACCAAGAAAATGAACATACCTATTCTGTGGTCATCACCAACTGAAGGAAAAAAAAAATACAGAGTTCCCAGAGAGGCCTTTGAAGACTTCTTGCATTGGCTTGAGTTACATGGTAGCAGCCCCTACACACCAACCTCCTGCCCTGAGACCAGAAACTCACAGCTTAGCCGCAATATATTCTATAATACAAGGTCATTCAGTCTGGAATAATACTTTATGTGGGTCATCCATGTTGCTAAACCCAGACTGTTCACACAGTCTCTTCATACCTCTATTGTGGTAAAAAACGAGGCTCTACATCCTTTCCGTGCAATGTTTGAACATGTCTTAAGTACTGCTTCAGATTCTTGGTGTCAAGCAAAGAGAACCATTGCTATAACAACCAGTTTATCTCACTGGGTGGGGGTACTTTCGTGCCTAGGGGTAAAGGAGATCAAGGATTCTGATACGATGTAAGGTGGAAGATGTCACATAGTTAGCATTTCTGTCGCTGCCATCTACAGGAGTGCTTTCCAACTCCAGCCCGAATCTCGAAACTCTAGCTATGTCAGCCCTGGTCAGGAGCAAACTTTGTGAGAGGATAAGGAGGTGTGGATGACGAAGTTTCCAAGCCTTATTTCTGCCACCTTTTACAAGACACCAGGCTGAAAGAGTGATACCCTAATAACACCAGCGCTTGCAAACCTATAGCTCAATAAAGCTTTCCGGAACTAGAGCACACAGCGAAGCCCTGCCCCTAGCGGTGCGCCGGAAGTATTTCCCAGCGAGCTCACGTAGGAAGAATGGCGGCGGTGCAGGTCGCTTCCTCGCTTCCTTGTGGGCAGTCGCGAGAGGCCGGGCGGGAGCTGTCGCCCGAGCGGGACGATGGGTTCCGCCGCTTGTCTGCCAGGCTCCGCGCGCTGCAGCCGGATGACAGCACCGTGTCCCGCATGGAGATCCACCTGCTCTTCGACCAGCTCATCTCCGAGAACTACGGCGAGGGAGGCGGCGTGGCCCCCGAGGTAGGCGGCGCGCCGCACCCTTCCGGGACTACCGCTGGTTCCTCTCTCCGGCCCCTCCGGGTGTCACCGGTCCACCAGATGACTTAGTTCCCGACTGGGTTTCTCCCTCTGTCGGTGCCATAGTCTCTGCCCTCCATCGGAAAGTTTGCAAGCTAGCATCTTCCAAAGGTTTCTGTTCTAACGCCCTCCGCTGCCAACCCTGGTGAGCGATTGCAGGAATGTCGAGGATAATGTTTAGTTGGTTTCATTGATGAACACATTGAAACAAAGATCCAGCGTCACGGTTTTGGCAAATGGCAGAACTAGAATTGGAGCCTAAGTTTGCCTTAGTGCCTGTCTTTTCTGTTTTGTTATCCGTCCTAGCTCTTGCTCCTCTTCGTTTGCCTCGCTCCTACTGCCAGAGTAATCTTACTCATACACATCAGACCTTGTAAATCACTAATTCCCTGAGTCCTTGAGCCAGTCCTGCCATGGCCCACAAACACCTCCAACTTGATAGCTCTCAAAGGTGAATACTTTGTCTCCCACACTCCTGTCCCCAGTTCATTCTACCCCACCCCGCCCCAAAGATCCACAAGATGCACACGCTGCTTCTCCCCTTTATCCTGGGGCCTGTCAGATTAAATTTCTTCAGAGTCTGTCTCAAACATGTTTCTCAGTTCGCTGTCTCTTCTTTATTCCCATGGTCTGTGCTTTAGGCAAAATAATTCTTGCCTAGACTATTCCCCTGGTCTCTCAGTGATCTTCCTCCTGTCTAGCCCCTTTACAGACTATTCTTTGCCAGAATCTACTATTTGGTTAAACAAAACAAACAAACCCATAAAAGTGTAAACCTAATTAGAGATTTTCAATGTATATTGGCAAATGGCAGAAGCAAGCTGCTTAATAAAAACAGACTATAGAGTAAGAGACAAGGAGAGAGGAGAATTTTAAAAATAAGTGTACATTTACATATGAAGGGGAAAAAATCCAGAAGAGCTCATCACGGAAAAGGGAGCAGAGTGGAATTAAGAGTGAAGTTAAGGGAACTTTGATTTATATGCTTTGATGTTTTGTGCAACAGCAACAGGTGTGCCCTCCCACTTTCCTCTCCCCTCTCTCCTCTTGGACCCTGGGTGCAGTCTTTGGCAGCTTGCTGCTGTTCAAGCACCTGAGGACTTTCCACATCTCCAAGGCTTCCCACACTCCATTCCCATCATTTGCTTTTTGATTACTTGTCTGTTCATTCTTCAAACCATTCCAGATTCTGCTTAAAATTCATCTTCAGGAGTCCTTCCTACCGAGTTTATACGGAATTCTTTCTGTTCTTAATTTATTGTCATTATTGTCATTATTTGTGTTTTCTGTCTCCCTCGCTAGATTGTAAATTCAGGGAAATGTTCGTTTCACCTTTGGAGTCAAAAAAGCTAGCCTTTTAACCTGGCTCAGAGCCTTTTTGTTTAGCAATCAACAGTAGCTGGTGTAATTTGTGGATAGCGTCTTCTTTTTTCTTTTCCTTTCTTTCTTTCTTTCTTTCTTTCTTTCTTTCTTTCTTTTGTAATTTTTCTGATTTCATATAAGAGTCATGTAAGGGTTGTTTCTGATTTGCCCAATAGCATTGACTGTCTGGCTGACTTGGTATTTTTAGCTGTAGTGTGTGTGCTTTTCTATACTGGAAGCCCTTTTGTTATGTAATTGTACTGTATGGTAAAAGTTCTTTTCCTTCTTTATGTACTTCCTAATTTTTGTTATATCATTCCCCTAACCCTTATTTTCTGCCTCAACTTTCACTCAGATACTTTTCTGTAGCTAGAGTTTTCCTGCCTGGCCCACAGTCAGGACAAACTCTCTCACCTGCCAGTCCCACAGCCCCTCAGACCCGACCAAGTAAACACAGAGACTTATATTGGTTACAAACTGTATGGCCGTGGCAGGCTTCTTGCTAACTGTTCTTACAGCTTAAATTAATTCATTTCCATTAATCTATACCTTGCCACGTGGCTTGTGGCTTACCGGCACCTTCACATGCTGTTTGTCATCATGGCGGCTGGCAGTGTCTCTGACTCAGCCTTCCACTTCCCAGCTTTATTCTCCTCCTTGTCCCGCCTACACTTCCTGCCTAGCCAATGACCAATCAGTGCTTTATTTATTGACTAATTAGCAACACATTTGCCATACAGAACATCCCACAGCACTTTTCCTCACTGAGCGTGGAACATTCGCTATACTTTTCCCATTATTTGACTGTGCTTTGGGGTGTTCAACTTTCACTCAGATATTTCTCCTCACTGAGTGTGCAACATTCACTGTACTTTTCCCATTATTTGACTGTGCTTTGGGGTGGTCACTTGGCTGACCAGTGCATTTACCTTTTTTTTTCAATAGGATGTCAGTGCTCTTCTTGTGCGGGCTTGTCAGTTGGTGCCTCTTAATCAGAATCACCTTGTCAGCAAAGTGTCTCAGCTGATCCATCTTCTACTTAACAGATTACAGGTAATAATGTATGTAACTTTAGGACTCAGATTGTGAATGCACATATGGTAGGCTCATCTTTATGTTTTGTTTGGAGACAGGATCTTAGGTCAGGTTGGCCTGAGAAAGACCTTGACCTTCTGATCTTTTTGTTCATGTTTAAAGTGTTGAGATTACACATGCTTGCTACCATGCCCAGGTCAGTTATCCTATCTTTTGAAAAGCTTGGGAAAGCAAAGTGCCCTGAGCTGAGAATGTAACTCAGTGCTGAAGCCTTGCAAGGCCTGGCACCCATGAGGCCATGGGTTCAATCACAGCAACAGTACCACCAAAAAAGCAATGCTTTTAATAAGAGTATATCTTAGTTTTCTTTTTTTTCATGGAAAATAGAATGACCAAGATATATCGCAGAACACAATTACACGATTCCCTATTTCTTTCCTACCAATATTTTTCCCTTTTCCTAAAACTATTATTTTTGTGATTTACGTAAAATCCCACAAGTATCTTGGGAACAGAGAGCCCCAGGATAAAAAGTCCGCAGTTATTTCTATCAAGTTCTGTTCTGCAGTTCTCCATCTGTAAAACTAAGTAAATCCTTGAGTAGATGAATGTACACATATCATTTGGCATTGTGTCAACCAGAATCCTTCAGACTGCAGGAAAGGAGAGCATTCAAATAAAACCAGAACCCTGCTACCGGGCAAGAGCATGGATGTTGATGTGTGACCAGCTGTGTTAGATGCTGGTGTGTAACTGCTGTGTAACTGCTGTGTGTGTTAGATACTGGTATGTAACCGCTGTGTGTGTTAGATGCTGGTGTGTAACCTGCTGCATGTGTTAAATGCTGGTGTGTAACTGCTGTGTATGTTACATGCTGGTGTGTAACTGCTGTGTGTGTTAGATGCTGGTGTGTAACTGCTATGTGTGTTAGATGCTGGTGTGTAACTGCTGTGTGTGTTAGATGCTGGTGTGTATCCAGCTGCATGTGTTAGATGCTGGTGTGTAACTGCTATGTGTGTTAGATACTGGTGTGTAAGCAGCTGCATGCGTTAGATGTCGGTGTGTAAGCAGCTGTGCATGTTAGATGAGATGAGGTTGCTTCCAAGTTCAGAATGTCACGGACAGATGTGGAGTGGCTTCTGAATTTTTACTATTGTCATGTGCTTCATCTCTGTGTCACTGGCAGTTGGATAACTTCATATCACCTGTGGCATCTACAGCCCATAGCCAGCTTTCTAGCATTTGATGACACTAAATATGGACGTGAATATCCATAAATTGGTTTTTGATTAGACCATTCTTTCTCAAGAAGATTATAAACTCTTAGGAACAGGATTGTGTCATATCTTCTTGTTGTATTCCTCTTACATTGTGACAGATACATAGTTAGCAGATATGTTTATTTGCTGTGTGTTAGTTGAACAATTTCTATGGATTAAATCAATTTAATTGAATTAAAATATTTCAGTGTATTGAATCTTGTATCTGTATTTATAGTTGTCAGTTACTGATTAGTTCCAGGAAAAGTTACAGGACTACCAGGTTCTACTTTGGAGATATCAAAGGGGATAGAGACTCTGTAGCAAGGAGACGGTCTCCCCCATCTTGATCAAACATAGAGCTAATGCTTTGGTACAAAAAAGATGAACATGTACTCTGTTATGTTAGATCACCTGTATTTTTTCCTTTCTTGTTAGGTGGTTGTGGATGAGCAGAACTTGGATTTCCTGTTGACCTATACGATCTCAGCTATTCAGCAGTGTAGCTCTTGGACACACATGGAAATTCTTCAAGCCCTGGCAGCTCTGGTTTACTGCAATGGTTCAAAATGTCAAAAGGTAGTGTCTTGGGTTGTGTTCTGTTGCTGTGATAAACACCACAACCAAAAGCAACTAGAGGAAGGAAGGGTTTATTTCATTTTACAGTTTATAGCCTATCATCCAGAGAAGCCGGGCAGGAACTGTAGCAGAAACCACAGAGATGCTGCTTACTAGCTTGCTTCCTCTGGCTTGCTCACCTGTCTTTTTTTATACAGCGCAGGCCCAACTGCCTAGAGATGGTGCCACCCACAGTGGACTGGAGCCTTCTACATCAGTTAGCAATTAAGAAAATGCCCCACAAATATTTCCAATCTGATGGAGACAACTCCTCAGTTGAGGTCCCCTCTTCCCAGGTGACTCTAGCTTCATCAGGTTGATTACTGAAGCTAACTATGACAGGTAATTTAAACTATTATGTCTTTCCTTTGAAAGGCTAGTAGCACAGACTTGAGAGTCAAAATACCTGTTTCCAAGTATCCATCCTGCCACTAATGCATGTATAGCCTTACTTACTGAGTCCCTTGGAGCCTTACTTATTCATGTGTGAGATATCGCTCTGAGGATGAAGTGAAACAGTGCTTGGCACTCTATCACTGTTGACTATTGTTATCATCATTATCATCATCCTTCATCCATGTATCCAAGACTAAAGAGCCCCAGCAATTACCTAGTAATGATTTTTACTACTGATTCCTGACATATGTTTGGGTAGCCATTGATGGATTTACCTAATAGCTAATTTTTTTTGATATTTAACTGTCCTTTATTTTTTTTTTTTTTTTTTTTTTTTTTTTTTTTTTTTTGGTTTTTTGAGACAGGGTTTCTCTGTGTAGCTTTGTGCCTTTCCTGGAACTTGGTAGCCCAGGCTGGCCTCGAACTCACAGAGATCCGCCTGGCTCTGCCTCCCGAGTGCTGGGATTAAAGGCGTACGCCACCACCGCCCGGCTTAACTGTCCTTTAATTAAGAAAATATTGTCTAACAAGTATAGTCTTCCTAGAAGCTGTTCTTTTTTTTTTTTTTTCAGGTTTTAAAACTTTATTTGCATATTAAAAAATTGTGCATTCCAATAATTAAAATCATTTGAACAAAAAAATGGCACTCTGATTAAACTGCATTTTACATCCTGCAGGACACCTTCGACCACCTTGAATTTTACTCTGTATTTCACCACCTCCCACCCAGCTTTTTCCTTCACCAACATACAAGTTCTTTTCCCTCCCTGCCAGCCAGACCGACAGATGGGTGGGAGAGGCAGGGGAGGCCTTCCTGGTCAGTAGGTCTGATTCTTTGATGTGAAAGGGGCAGCACAGGCATTTAAACTTGATCCAACCTCTTTGCATCTTACAAAGTTAAACAGCTAAGGAAGTAAAATAAGAAGGCAATGCTTGTGGAATGTACAGTGCATGTTGGCGGCGCTCGCCTCATTATGATTCGCCAGCTTGCTTCTCCTGTTCAGTCGTTTCTTTTGAAGGCAGAGGATTTTTCTTTTGCGTTTCTGTCTTCTTCAATTTCGACTTATCGAATTTCTCCATCTCAGCCATATCGGGTTTGTCAGACATGGTTGCCGGAAGGAGCTGAGCGAAGTGCGCGAACAAGGAGAGTCCGATCTGCTCAGAGGCCACTGCGGATTGTCCTAGAAAATGCTCTTATACCCACACTGTTGATATTTCTTTCAGTATCTCCCAGACTTGCTAGGCAAGAGCGGCCTCTTGATGAAGCTGAGTGACTCAACTCACTCTGATCCTGAAGTCCGGAGAGCTGCAGTGCATTGTATGGCAAATTTATGTCTCAGGTATGTGGATGCAACCAGGCTTCCCAACAGTAGAAGGTAGGACCTCTCCTGGGCCCTTCGTAGATTGTTCTGTCTGCCTGAAGCCAGAACCAATGTAGAAAAATAACCTAGCTTAAGCTATGCCTTGTGACGCGTGCCTGTGATCCCAGTACTCAGGAGGCTGAGGCAAGAGGATCCTTAGCTTCAGGCTATCCTACATAGCAAGTTCCAGACCAGCTTGGGCAAAAGCTGTGAGACTGTGTCTCAATAAACAAAAAGAGAAAGAACCTGTTCCATGCCATTTAGCAAGGTTATCTTATATTGTTTGTTTTTAATTAAAGAAAACCTATCAAGAAATGAAGGGAGAAAAGCACGCTAGAAGTAATAGGTGTGCAGTATGTCAGTTTATTTTCCGTTAGTGTACATTTTAATCATATTCTGTTGGAAAGAATATTCATGTGAATTTAGACTCTTGTGAAAGTTTCAATTAAGTCTAGTTTCTTCTTTAAGAAGATGGAGCCGGTCTGTAGTATGCGGTAGCAAACGGACAGCACAAACTTGACCCTGTCTCTGGATAGCACTGTGTTGTCCAGTGCCTGGGAAAGCAGACTCATCATGGTCTCACTCCGCAGGATCTGTCTGCGGTATTTCCCTCCTATGACTGAATGGCAGAACCAAGAAAAAGATTGTTTCTTCTGCACACCTCCTCCACTACACTTCTCTGACATTTTTCTATAGAGACTTCTCTTCCCCCTTCATATGTGTTCAGGCCTGTGCTAGTTCAACAGTAACTAATCAGCCAAAATGCCATTTCTGGAGCACAGTAGTATTCAGAGATATGTTCCAGACTTAGCAGTCTGCATTGATGTTGTTAATGCTTATCTGTCAATAAGCACTGTTTCAAAGGAGACTACTTGAATTGTTTTCTCTGCTGTGGGATGATCCTTCTATACACTGTGAATGTGTGTAGCTCTCATTGGTTAATAATAAATCTGTTTTGGCCAATAGCCAGGCAGGATAAGGTTTGGTGGGAAAACCAAAGGAGGGGATGAAGAAGGGCAGAGTCGGAAGAGTCATGAGCCAGACAGAGAACAGAGGTAAAGGCTATGAGCCTCAGGGCAGTACATGGAATAATAGAAATGGATTACGTTGTAAGAGCTAGTTAGTAATAAGCCTGAGCTAATGGCCAAGCATTTATAATTAATATAAGTCTCCGGTAATTTGGGAAGCAGCTGCCGGATATTTGGAAACAGGTGGACGAGACAGAAAAGCTCCACCTCTGTTTACATTTCTCTACATGTGTTTTAGTGTGCCAGGACAGCCATACTTGGAGGAGTCCTACCAGAACGTCTGTTTCCAAGCTTTCTTGACCATTTTACAGTCTCCAAAATCATCTGATATGGATGATATAACATTTTGCATGGTAGGTGGGACTGCTATTAACATCCGAACATTGCAGGCATAGAACAAAGGCTAGAGGATTGACTGATGTATTAGTTTGGAAAGACAGAGCTACATGTGTGTGTAAATGGTGTCTATAAGTCAGGGCTGAAGCCACATCTTTGGATTCAAATGATAAGGAACCATTTGGTTTGATTTGAGTTTTGTTTTGACAACTTTTAAAAGCCCATATTCTTTCTCCTCTTGAATCTAAAAACAATATAGTGATTATGACTGATTTTAAGGTAAGACAGAAGAAAACCTGTTCAATAATCTTTTCTTAATGACAAATGTGATCCATGCTTTAAATTCAGAAACATATATTTTAAAAATTATAGATCCAAGGTAGTAAAAGTTATTTTTGGTACCTGTCTGAGATACAGTTTATTACAGTAAGAGCTCCTCACTTCTCTCTGCTTCTTTAAAAGAAACTTTTTTTTTTTTTTTGAGCCAGGGTTTCTCTGTGTAAATGGTTCTGGCTGTACTGGAACTTACTTTGTAGACCAGGCTGGCCTTGAACTCAGAGATCTGCCTGCCTCTGCCTCCCAAGTGCTGGGATTAAGAGCGTGCACCACCACTGCCCGGCTAAAAAATTTTTAAATGGCACATTATGTTATATGTATGTGAGCATGTGGGCATGCCCTAGCACTTGTGTGGAGCTCAGAGGATGTGCTGGAGAAGTTGGTTCTCTCCTGTCACCGAGTGGGTCCTGGGAACTGAACTCAGGTGTCGGGCTTGGCGGCAGGGGGCTGTACCTGCTGAGCGTCTCGCAGGCCCTCTGTACCATTTCTCCTGTCTCACCCACCCTCTTTCTCGCTCATCACTTACACTTGCTGGTTCCTAAGTGTGTACAATAAGAGAGCTCTTCTGGAAGGCTGCCCAGAGTGCTCCTCAGCTCTGTTCTCTGGATCCCCATCTCTGCTCTGGATGCCTCATGAAGTTTTCCTTCATCTAGAAGACTTTTTTCTCTTCCCTTCTAACTGCTACAGAGTTGGTCCCTGCGGAACCAGGTCTCATTCTGCCTTCTAACTTGCATCTCTGCCTCCCCGCCCTCAGTTGTTACAGAATGCACTGAAAGGCATCCAGTCACTTCTTAACGGTGGGAAGATGAAGATGACACAGACTGAGCACCTGGGAGCGCTCCTCGCTGTGCTAAAGGTGAGGCGTGTCTTCACAGTTTGACACCCAAGTGTGAGGGACACACGCCCCAAGTGTGGGGGCTGTCCTATATCCTCTCACCTCTCTGTGGCTAGCTGTAAGGTATTAGAAGTTCATATATGGATAATAAGAGCACAATAAAATGTTCATATTCAGGCATGCTCAGTTAAAATTAAGAGCAGAGAAAACCGCAATCGATAGATCGAAGTTTTAAGAATTCCTTTGGCATCTCAGAAAGGAATCAGTGGTGAGATGTGATCTGTAGATAATTTAATTACAGATTTTCTTGAACCTGCCTTCACCTTTTTGTACTGTAGGCAGCAGTAGGCTGCCATTACTAACTTCTGAGCCTGCGCACAACAGGAAAGTCAGGTCACCCTGTGAGACCCAGTGATCCTCAGTTCAGCCAGGAAGAGTCAGAAGCTCAGTGTTCACCTCAGGTCAAAGTCATCTGTGACAGTCTAGCTTTGTGACCAATATTTTAATAATTTTCTCTTAATCCCTAAATGGGACAGATAGGAATATAGATGAATAAATAAAAATGATAAATTAGGGGCTGGAGAGATGGCTCAGTGGTTAAGAGTACTTGTTCCTTTCACAGAGGACCCAGCACATACTTGGTCAGTCACAATCATTCACAACTCCAGTTACAGGGGATCCGACCCCTCTTCTGACCTCCACAGGCACTTGGTACACACACACATACATGCAAGCAAAACACTCATGCACACAAATAAATCTAAAAATAAAAATAATAAAGGATTGGTATTTAAAAAAATGAATTAGTTTAAACAGTTTGTGATCAATAAAATAAAAGTGATTTGATAAATAAAAATTATAGATGCACTAAAATCAAGCCTAATCTGGTGTGGCCTGTGCAGATCCAGCTCTATGTAGACAAGATTAAGCTCCTCCCTCACCCATTCGAGTACTTGCCACGCCCAACCCTGCAGGCTTCCGAAATCAGATGAGGTCAGGAACATTCAGTGGGGCATGGACACAGATGAGACTAAGCACTTCTTTGAGCACTGGCCTTAGGTGTTTCCTTTGTCTCTTTTATTCTGTAGTAGTTTTTAAACATTTGGATTCTGTTGATGATTCATGTGGCGTTTGTTCTTCCTCGCTTCTCACTGTTAGAAAGCCATGTTTCACGGACTCCCAGGATTAAACATAGAGATGCCCGCGGTGCTGTACCCAACTCCGCTCCCTCAGTATGATGGGCGATCGCCTATTAGACCACAGCAACCGGAACCCAGTGCTGCTCGACTGTCTGTGGTACGTTTCGGTCCAGTGAGATTCAGCTGTGGATCACCTGAGTGCTTGCTGTGTGTGTGCTTTCTATGATTTGCTTCTCAGCTGCCTCAAAAGGCCACTGCGAGTTTGTTTTCAAGTTAGTGTAGTTAATATAGAAATGTTAAATTGATCAGATTGCTGAGAATACCAGTTACAGCGCTTTGTACTTCTGAGAGGTCTAGACAGTGTAACCGCTACAAACAAGCATTTGCTTTACATCCAGTGCTGTGAAGGCTCATTCCTAGCCTCTCAAAACCAAGAAGAATCAATACACTATTGTAATACAATATCTTTTGTAAAGGGCTGGCTATCATGGTACCACAATGCAAAAGCAACCAGGGATTCTCTGTGGAAGCAGATGGGCTGCAATTCCAGTAAAGCTTAATTATAGAAGCAGGCTTTGGGCCATAACGTAGCAGTTCTTCTCTAGAGCCACAGAAGCCCAGCTGCCTGTCAGGTCGCTGTCTCCATGATGCTACTGTCACATTTCCCAGCCTCTGTAGACAGCTGGTTTTCTCCCTCAGTTCCCTTGGAGCATACAGATGTGTGGCCAAGATTTCTATCTAGAAATGTGACAGCAGACAAAGAATGCTTCAGTTGGAAACTCCTTCATCTGTTATTTATTAAACATGTGCTGTCCTAAGACATTGGGGAAAGCATGAAGAACGGAGGCACTGGAGGCCGGAGAGATGGCTGGGTGGGTAAAGGACCACCTGCACAAACACAAGGATCCGAGTTCCTGTCCCTGCCACCTGTATCAAACAAACAGACAAACCAACCTGCTGTCACACTTCTGTAACCCCAGCACTGCAAGTGTGGAGACAAGTGGGTCCTGAGGACTCACTGGCCATCCAGTCTGGCTGTTCAGTGAGTTCCAGGTTCACTGAGAGAAACTGTCTCAAAAAAATGAGGTGGAGAGGGTTAAACAAAGATGCACAAGGTAGACCTCTGGCCTCCATACACCCGTGCATGGGTGTATATATGTTAAACACACACACACACACACACACACACACACACACACACACACACACACACAGATTCTGCCTATCCTTAGGAATTTTGGATAAAGATGGATAGACCATTACAGGCCTGTAATTTCCTTCACCAAAACACCCACAAAGTACTCCGAGGGCGGCACATCCAGAGCACACAGTCCAAATGGAGGAGAAAGAGGTTTGTTTAAGATGTGGTGGCTAAATGGAGGCTCCAGAATGAATAACAGGATGGAGATGAAGGGAAACAGAGCCACATAGACACATGGAGTAAGTGCGTGTGTGGCTCATGTCGCCGACCGAGCCACATTGCAGGTGTGTGGAGGGGTCTTAACACAGGATGCTACAGTCTGGGATTTATCTTGTAGGTGATGGAAAAGTCATATAGAAAAATGGCGTGGTCAGATTTTTGACTGAGAAAAACCACATAGTTTTGGAACTAGAAAGGGTAGGTCAGGACCACTTTAAGTAGTAGACGAGGGGAAGGTACAGATCCCAAGGATACTTGGATGCCAGATAGAAAGAAGTAGAACAGAAAGAAAGTGTCTTTACTTAGTATCTTTACTGCATAACCCGAGGGCCTAGAACAGGCATCGTGTGCAACGCCCGCCACCTCCTGTGATTCTGTCTAGAGGGACACTTGCTGCCCCGGGGTGACAGTGCTGTGCTCATGTTCCCCAGGCTTTGGAGCTCTGGAAGGAGCTCTGGAGAAGGCCTGTTTTTCTACAGCTCTGCCTGGTGCTTGCAGGTGAGGGAGGTGACGCCCAGAGAAGTGATTCCAGAGTCACTTGGGAGAAGCCCAGGCTACATGGTTGCTGTGTCTATGAACCTCATTCCTTGTTTCTAGGAGTTCAGTACTGTACATCGTGCATCATGCCTGGCACATCCTGCCACACTTTACTTCTGTCCTTTTTTTTTTCCCTTCTTCAAACTGCATTTCGGGAACATCTCCAGTCACTTTCAAATGAAAAAGTACCTATGATTTCAGTTACAAAGTAGTTTTGGAATGACTATCATAATATGTATTTTTACGTATATGTATAAATATATTTAAGTATGTATATATGTGTATGTGTGTGTGTGTATATATATATATATATATATATATGTGTGTGTGTGTATATATTATATCTTTGCTTCTAAAATCAGAACAAAAAGAAAAAACACAAAGTAAAACCAAAGAAAACCCAGCAAGGGGAGAAAGAGGAGGAGGAGGAAGAATCCAGTGGTGAAGTGGAAGCGGCCCCAGGCCTCAGCACGGCCAGGGTAAACACGTGTGGCGAGAATGCTTGGTGCTCCTCCCCCCGGGGCTCCCAGAGTTTGCCTGTGGATGGGGGCAGAGCTGCAGGAAGAGAGCAGGTCTCCTGGCCCTTCACCTCCTCCAGCTGGAAAAGAGTCAGCAGCAGTGAGTCAGACTATTCCGATTCAGAAGGAGGCATGCAGGGTAAAATGAGGTAGTAGTATTTTGTTATAATGTTCTACCTGGCATTTGCAGTTGCATGTGACTTAAGAACCTGTCTGCTGTGTGGCGTTGACCTTGAAGGTCCCCTTCACATGGGGTCTTTGCATCCTTTGACCCATGACTACTTGCAGGATCTGCTTCTGTGACTCTTTGCTTCTCTCTGGCCTTTTCATCTTGTTAACCACTAGACCTCTTCACAATGAGCTCACAAGTCATGTTTCCTGGGAAACATTTCCAACACCTCCATTCTGACTTACGCTCTCTGTTACATGACCCTGTTATTTACCTTTGCCCTGGTGTCATGGAAAGTGTGGTACAGTTCCTTCCTGAACCATCTGTCACTTGCACTAAAAAGCCTGTCAAGGGCAAGGGCTGTGTGTGTGTGCGGCCACCTCAAGCGCTGTGGCCCACGTAAGGTCATGGGGGGCGGGGGGAATCCATTGAATAGCTGCATGGATACTCTGCACTGTTTCTCGTCTAACTCTAGTTTATTCTCTGCTTGGTTTTTAATCAGCCTTATTATTAATAGCTTGTAGCAAAATTACCTAACATGTTTTGATCATACTTTGAAAGAGATGGTAACATCCTTAGGGATACTCAGGATGCTTAATTTCTCAAATCATTTGAACTGGTTGGAATAAATAGCCTTTCCGTTTGCATTTTTAAAAACGTATTAAAACTTTCTTCTCACTATCAAAGGTCATACCAAGCCAAGGTTCGCCAAGGGGCATTAGCTTGCTTTCTTTCCACTGTCAAATCGATAGAAAAAAGAGTTCTCTATGGCTACTGGTCGGCCTTTGTTCCTGACACACCTGAGCTTGGAAGCCCCCAGTCTCTGTCCTTAATGACACTCACATTAAAGGACCCATCTCCAAAGGTAAGGCGCATTTTTATGTCCTTTTCTCCCTTTGCCCTGTCTGATCGTCTCGGAACACTGTTCTCGCTCGTACCATCCCAGGTCCTGACCTGAGAACCTTAACAGGCAGGAAGCGAAGAGGGGACAGGCTTCTGTGGACCGCATGCTAAGATTCTGTCTTACCCCAGGGCTTTGCTTGAAGTCAGAGCACACCGAGATGTAACTCCGGTGTCTCCCGTGAGCCCCACTGAAGCTGTGGTGTTAGGAACAGCTCAGGAGTGGCTCAACTCAGTACAGTGTTTACATACATGCGTGTGCAGGCTGACTCAGTGCAGTGTAGTGTACATGCGTGTGCAGGCTGACTCAGTACAGTGTTTGCATACATGCGTGTGCAGGCTGACTCAGTGCAATGTTTACATACATGCGTGTGCAGGCTGACTCAGTACAGTGTTTACATACATGCATGTGCAGGCTGACTCAGTGCAGTGTAGTGTACATGCGTGTGCAGGCTGACTCAGTACAGTGTTTGCATACATGCGTGTGCAGGCTGACTCAGTACAGTGTTTACATACATGCGTGTGCAGGCTGACTCAGTACAGTGTTTACATACATGCATGTGCAGGCTGACTCAGTACAGTGTTTACATACATGCGTGTGCAGGCTAACTCAGTGCAGTGTAGTGTACATGCGTGTGCAGGCTGACTCAGTACAGTGTTTACATACATGCGTGTGGAGGCTATCGAAAGCTTAGAAAAGTGCCTGTATTGTTTTGTGAAAGCACAAAATAGTGTTTTATATACAATAAGGACCTAACAATTTTCCCATATCTTAAAATATCATGATTGATTAACATATTTTAATGAGAAAAAAAGTAATTTCATTAAAGAAAAAACAATGGTTTGGCAGTCTGGATAGCATCAGCAACTACCCCATGGCAGATGGAGGCCTGCCCCTGTTTAGATATGTCCATTCCTCTCTGGAAACTTGCTCTTAATCAAGGAAGGAAAGGAGTCTGTTCTCAGCCTTACAGCAGTGAGTATTAAAAAGTCCCACTGAGGAGCACCTGGCTTTCCTTAGGTTGCCCACATACCCACTGAAAGTGAGTATTTTAATTAGCCCTATCGCATATTTTACCTGTTTTTAAGGTTTCTGTCTAAAAGGAAAGTATAATCCACAGCAGATTGGAATACTCCATAATCATTTGAGTAGCTAGATACAGTATAAGATGGGGGCTGGAGCCGGGCGGTGGTGGCACGCGCCTTTAATCCCAGCACTCGGGAGGCAGAGCCAGGAGGATCTCTGTGAGTTCGAGGCCAGCCTGGGCTACAGAGGGAGTTCCAGGAAAGGCTCAAAACTACACAGAGAAACCCTGTCTCGAAAAACCAAAAAACAAAAGACGATGACTCAGTGGTTAGGAGCACTAACTGCTCTTCCAGAGGACCCAGGGTCCATTTCCAGAACCTACATGTCAGCTCACAATCATCTGTAAGTGACTCTTCCTTAAAGAAACAGCAGCCCTTGACTAAGGTGCATCTTTTTCCCTTTCCATCTATAAGATGGTATTCAGGGTCTGTGTTATAAAATGCTGTGCAAGCACGAGGGCGTGAGTTCAGATCCCCAGCTCCCATACAGAAGTTGGGTAGTAGAGGCAGGTGGATCCCTCGGGCTTGCCGGCCAGCCAGCCTAGCCAAATCAGTGAGCTCCAGGTTCAGTGGGAGACCTGGTCTGTCTGTCTCAAAATATAAAGTGGAGAGCAACTGAGCACATACATGTGCACACACATGTACATATACATATACAACTCACATTCTTTATCAGATACCCCACTGCAGTGTTACTTCCTACACCCAGGTGTTTCCAAGTGTTGTGTTACCATTGTTAGTATACACAAACACACACTCAGATGCTTTAGAGTAGAAAGTAAGTGGATACCCTCAGGAGCTGATGGGTTCTCTTTTCATTGGCCTTGTGCTTAGGTAGGAAGGTCTCTAGTCTCTAATCAGTTCTACGCTTAGGACTTCAGATCTGTGTGTTGTGGTAGAATTGAGTTCTGTCTCACTGCTGCCCTGTGGCGGTGTGGTGGAGGATTTCTTTAGGTGCAAGCGGCCCACCTTGTAGCTGCCCTCAGTACATGACACATCCTCCCCTGCCTCCATTCTTCTAATAAGATGGCTCTGGATACTTGGAGAGTTGAGTCTGTATAGAAAGAAGGGAGCCTGGATCCCGACTTCTAACTGATCGCTGTGCATCATCTTGAAATTCCAGACACGTGCCTGTGCCTTGCAAGTTTTGTCTGCCATCTTGGAAGGCTCAAAGCAGTTTCTTTCTGTCGCTGAAGACACCACTGATCACAAAATGGCTTTCACCCCCTTCTCTGTAACGATTGCGTCCAGCATTCGAGAGCTGCACAGATGTCTTCTGTTAGCTCTGGTGGCGGAGTCCTCGTCCCAGACCCTCACTCAGATAATTAAGGTAAGTCCCAAGTTACCTCCAGCTTCAGAGAGGCTTCAGTTTGGATGTTTCACATCACCCAAAGGTAACTGACCTAAGAGTATACGTGATAATTATATTAAAGACACCTGTTTGGAGGTCTGTACCTATTTAGCTAATCTAGCTATAGACATTAAAAAGACTGCTTTTCTTTTAGTAAATAGCCCTTTAAAATTGGGTGAGGGGGCTGGTGGGATGGCTCAATGGGTAAAGGCTCTCGCCACCAAGCCAAGTTTGATCCCCAGAATTCATGTGGTAGAAGGAGAGAACAGAATCCCACAATTGCCCTCTGACCTCCACATACACACTCATAAAAATCAACAGGAAAAAATATTTGTGTGTGTGAGCATATGTTTCTGTTCTGTTGCAGTGCCTTGCAAACCTAGTATCCAACGCCCCCTATAACCGCCTGAAACTCAGCTTGCTGACCAAAGTCTGGAACCACATAAAGCCTTACATCCGCCACAAAGGTTGGTAGTGCTAACTGCTTCTTTCTGTCTGTCAAATGTAGACTGTCAGGTTTTTTAAAGAGAGAGAGAGAGAGAGAGAGAGAGAGAGAGAGAGAGAGAGAGAGAGAGAGAGAGAGAAGTAAGTATTCAGAGCTTTTCTCCAGCTCTAAGATCTTTGCTTAGTCTCAGCTTGTCAAGGGTATCAACTATTACTAGACAGCCATTTTGGGGAAGGGAGTGAACTGGAGAACTGACTGAGTGCTGCTTCGACTTCTCAGGAGAGTGAACAAACTGCATCTTTAGTAAGAGGGAGGAAGGGAGATGGATGGATGGGTGGGTGGATGGATGGATGGATGGGTGGGTGGGTGGATGGGTGGATGAGATCATGCACTGGAGAGAAAAACTATAATACAAAAACTTGGCTTCCATAACATGATCTGCGTAGTTCACATAAAGTCCTATGAAGTTGATTCACATCTCTAACTGCAGACTTCCTGCTTGTGTGTCTTGGCTTTTCCCACACATATGTATGGGCCATAAGCACCTGCCTTTAGAACGTTCCTTTTTGTTTGCTCACAAGATTTCAGATCAGGCTTCCTCTTACATCTGGATTTTCAGTCAGAGTTGCCCAATTTCTCTTTACATTTATCTGCTGTCCCCTCCAGGTTCTATCTTAATTCCTTCGTCTAGTTCTGCCCCTTCTAGGTTCTCATCCATCTAGTTCTTTCGCATATCAGCTCCTCTCCCATCTCCTTTCTCATCTTGTTCTTCCCCATCTGACTCTTCCTCATCTTCCATCTTGTTCCTCTAGTACTCTCTTCTAGCCCTTCAGTCTAGTTCTTCCCCATCTCAGTTTGTTCCTCTCAAGTTCTTACCCGTCTAGTTCTTCCATTCTCTTTTCTCTTCTCCATCCTCCAGTGCCCTGGAAGTCACGGTATATATACACTTACAAGCAGTATTCCCTTAGCAGTACAAAGCCAGGCTTCCAGGGTCGAAGGGAGGGGTGATAAGAATCACATAGAGAGGCAATAATCGTTAATTATCATTTGCAACCCCAAAGGGAAGTGACCAGTGAGGAAATGAATTAACTAAAGACTAAATTCAGGTAATATCTAAGAAGAGGGATCTTATGTGCTCAACTATAGTCTTAAATGTGATTAGTAGAAAATGTTAAGAATCTATAAGTTGCTAGGTCAATGGGAGAAAATAAAACTGTCTTCTTTTTTCCCTAGGCTCCTATCTGTCCAAGCTATCTGCCATTTTTCTGCAGGGTGGGGGAAAGTGTGCTCAGTTGCTAGGCAACCTGTGTACAGCTAGATGCCTCTGGTGATAGTTAAAGGGAGATCTGGAACTGGAGGTAAGATTTGGGAAAGGAGGAAGTTAAGCTTAATTGGCATATCCGTCAGGCCTTCTCAAACAGGTAGCCTGGATACTTAAGTCTGTTCTTAGAGAGTACAGAGGTATCTCTGATAAGGTAATTTCTTCCATCTGGGGATGGACCTGACCGAATGCTGCCAATGACGATAATTACAAGGAGGTTTGAACTGGGGTTCGGGCTGAGCAAAGCTGTCAGCGCAGAAGGTTATCTATTCCTAGAAGTGGTTAGGTAAGGAGTAAGAGGTCTATAAAGTTAGTAAGGATGTAAGAAAGGAAGGTCCAAGCTAAATTGTGTAAAGCTATTACTTAATGTCCACCTGACCTAGGCGGTGTCTCCTTGTGGAATTTATCTTAAATCAGGAGACTTGCATGTGGACTGTTATTACTGCTAGTCTTTGAAAGTGGCCAAGGGAGATATCGGATTCCAGAGAAACCCTTTCCTGAGGCTGTTCTCCAAATACCTGGAATGTGTATGTCCAGAGAGTGATCAGTCCACACTGTTAGCCCTTCTTAGGGAAAAGTCAATTTGAAAAACTATGAAGGCACACGTGATTTTCATAACAGAATACAGCTGATATATAACAAGCCAAGTAACACCAAAAACTCCTTGGGATTTGACTTCCTCTGGAGGAAATCCTTGATCCCTCCAGGTAGTGACTTTGCCATAACCAGCTGAGTTCTTACGATATATTCCTGCGGCCTGCAGCACTGGGGCTGCTAGACAGCCACATGCAAAAAACTAAACCAGAATGCAGGCCTTTTAGCTTTTTCTTTTTCTCCTTTGTTATGTATGTGTGGTGTGATTGCATGTGTGTATGGGCTTTTGTGTGTGTGTGTGGGCACACACATGGGAAGGCCCAAGGTTGACATCAGGCACGTTCTTCAGCCTCTCCACATTGTTCACTGAGCAGTGTTTCTCAGTTGTACCCAGATCTCTGCCTAGACACTTTGCTCTTGGGATCCTGTCGCTTGTCTTCTGAGCGCTGGAAGTATGTGTGGGCTGCCATACCCACTCAGCATTTATATGGGTTCTTGGGACCTGAACTCCAGTCCTCATGCTTATAGACGATTGCTTCAATCACTGAGATACCCCCAACCCTGGTTTTTGTTTCTAATAGCTTTTTTCTTTTAAATCCTGAGATCATTCAAGTTCATGGATTAATTACATTTTATTACTGTGTATACCACTATAGTGTTTCTATTGTTTTGTTTTTGAAATGAGGTCTCCCTATGTAGCCCAGGTTGGCCTCAAATGTCCTCCCACTTCAGCTTCCACAGAGCTAGGATTGTAAAGATACATGGTTTTTATTTTTGTGACTGTGGGTAAGTATGTGCATGTATATGTGGGTACCTCGGAGGCCAGAGGAGGGCACAGAATCCCCAGGAACTGGAGTTACAGGCATTTGTGAGCTGCACTATGTGAGTGCTAGGAGCCAACCTCTAGTTCTCTGGGAGAGCAGCACATGCTCTTACCAACTGAGCCATCTCTCCCGCCCCACGTGCTAGGATTTCAAGTATACAGCTCCATGCCTGGGTTCTGTGGTCTTTTTAAATCAAGAAACCTCACCACCCATTTTGATTTTTTTTCCTAGTGTTCACATTTGGATACTCCTAGTCAGTTGTCTTCTAGATAAGGTTCTTGATTTCTCATATTGTTTCTTCATGATATTGTCCCATATTTTCTATGAACTGAAATTAGGAGTTTACTTATACCTAATTAAAGCAGAATCTAGCAATTCTTAATTGCCGGCAGGGGTAAACTACAGCCCTTATGACAGTGGTTCCGTGGTGATACGCTGACTTTCTTTGGACAGATGTTAACGTTCGAGTGTCGAGTCTCACACTCTTAGGAGCTATAGTGTCCACTCACGCGCCTTTGCCGGAAGTCCAGCTGCTCCTGCAGCAGCCCTGCTCCTCTGGGCTCAGCAGCAGCAATTCAGCAACTCCTCACCTCAGCACTCCTGACTGCTGGAAGAAAGCCCCTGCAGGACCCTCTCTGGAGGAAGCGTCATCGGTCAGCTCGCCCAAGGCATCTTCGGAGCCCTGCTGGCTCATCCGACTTTGCATCTCCACCGTGGTGCTGCCCAAGGAGGATTCCTGCTCGGGTAGCGATGCCGGCTCTGCCCCGGGAAGTACCTATGAACCGTCCCCCATGCGGCTGGAGGCTCTGCAGGTAGGAAGCACCATGTTCCTGTCTGCATGGAAGGGACCATTCCTTCTCAGGAGGGTGACTGAGGGGCAGGTGCATCAAGTGGCCTCACCTCTAGGTGTGGCCTTTCCTTTCTAGTTTTGTTTAGGGCAGTCCTTGTAAACTGTTGAGTGCGTCCCTTCCTGTTCTCTTGTTACAGACTGTTGTAGTCACTGCAAGTATTGTATGAGAGGTGGATGTAATGGTTAAGTTTGACTTCAGCAACCTCAAGTTAATTCCCTGTAAATTCCTTGTTGTCCTCTTGTATCTATTTATTGAAACAAAATGATTGCTCCTTGAAAGGAAGAAAATACCTCTTTCAGGGCATGTTGGCCTGTGTATTTAATTCCAGCACTTGGGAAGCAGAGGCAGGCAGATCTCTGCGAGTTCAAGGCCAGTCTGGTTTACATAGCAAGTTCCAGACCACCCAGGTTTACATAGTAAGAACTCATCACAAAGTAAAATAAATAAACCAATAAAAATTTTTAGAAGAAAAGAAAAGAAATTACCCCTGTCTCAGATGTAGTCTAAGATGCAGACTTGTGTATAGTTAGGGTTCTCTAAAGCAGAGTTTCTCAACCTGTGGCTTGTGACCCTTTGGGGGGTCGTATATCAGATATCCTGCATGTCAGATATTTACATTACAATTTGTAACAGTAGCAAAATTACAGTTATGCAGTGACAACAAAGTAATTTTGTGGTTGAGGTCACCATAACATGAGGAACTGTATTAAAGGGTCGCAGCATTAGAAAGACTGAGAACCACTGCTTGAGAGGAACAGAACTGATAGAGTGAACATATATCTCCATTTCATACATATGTAGGATTTATTAGAATGGCTTACAAGCTGTGGTCCAGCTAGCCCAACAATGGCTGTCTACCAACAGAAGGGCCAAGAATTTCATAGTTGTTCAATCCACAAGGCTGGATGTCTCAGCTGGTCCTCGGCATACACCAGAATCCCAAAGAAGTAGGCTCTAATGCCAGTGAAGGAATGGACTTGTTAGTGGAAGTCAGAGCAAGCTGGCAAAGAGCAAATGCTTCCTTCTTCCATGTCCTTTATATAGGGTGCCAGCAGAAGGTGTGGCCCAGCTTAAAGGTAGATCTGCCCACTTCAAAAGATTTGGATTAAGTTGGGCAGTGTGGCGCACGCCTTTAATCCCAGCACTAGGAGGCAGAGCCAGGCGGATCTCTGTGAGTTCGAGGCCAGCCTGGGCTACAGAGTGAGATCGAGAACAGGCTCCAAAGCTACACAGAGAAACCCTGTCTCGGGGGGAAAAAAGATCCATATTAAAAGTGGGTCTCCCCACTTCAAATGATTTAATTAAGAAAAAAATCCCTCACAGTTGTGCCCAGCCACTTGGGTTTTAGTTAACTCCAAATGTGTCGAGGTGACAGCCAGGAACAGCCATCCCAGCTCAGTTCTGCTGTTTGTCTGAGGACACTGAGCACACCCTTTTACGCTTCGGCCTTGGTCCTTTCACTATAAATTCCATAAAACCTACATCAAAGGCTCACCCTGAGGCTTGAGCGAGACTTCTCAAACCAGCAAAGCATCATGGGATTGATGCCAGCAGTAGCTAGAGTATGGCTGCCTCTCACTTCTCCTACTGCCAGACTTGCCGTCCGTGTTAGGTGTGAGCGACTGCCAAAATGTTGAACCACTTCTGGATTGTGCAGCCCTGCCTGCTTTCAGATGCGCTAATCGCCTGTTCTCGGTGCAGGTTTTGGCTCACCTGGCAAGGGGCTATTTTTCAATGGCTCAGCTGTACCTGATGGAGCTTGGCGAGGTGATCTGCAAGTGCATGGGCGAAGCAAACCCATCCATTCAGCTCCATGGCGTGAAGGTAATTTCATTGCAAGTGACACAGTTCCTTCTGTGGTTTCTCAGGGTTCAGACGACGAGGGGATGCATTCCTCTCCTGGTTCTTATGTGTGGGGTCGGCTGACACCATAGATGTCCGTTTTACTCCTCAAAGAATCTCTCATAGTTGCTGAGAAGAGAAAAACTAGTTAGAAATTACTTTTCCTAAGTTGTGTGCATGCCTTTAGCCCCAGCACGAGGAAGGCAGAAGGCCAGCCAGGGCTACATAATGAGACCCTGTCTCAAAAAAAACAAACCGAAAAGGAAAGAAAGAGAAACAATTTTTCCTGTTGCTTTGATGGATCTCCAAACTGAAGGCATGGCGTTTGTGGCCTCCATAGTGCTAATGCTCTGCTCTGACAGCTCATTTCTTGTGTCTTGGCAGCTTCTGGAAGAACTGAGTACAGGCTTGATACAGCAGTACAAGCCAGATTCCAACGTGGCTCCCGAGCAGAGAGTACCAGTCCACATGGTGAGCACACCACCATTCCCAGTGTTCTCTCCGAAGTGCTCTAGTGTGCTTTTTATTTTGAGACTCAGTCGCTGTGGGATGTTCTTTATGTTAAATGTACCTCCATTCCAGGTGGTGAAGTTCTGGACTGCAATGTTGAATGGTCCTTTGCCCCGAGCCTTGCAGAATTCAGAGCACCCAACTCTCCAGGCGAGCGCCTGTGACGCCCTGTCCTCCATCTTGCCAGAGGCTTTCAGCAGTCTGCCGGTAATGTAGCCACATGTCCTCACTCTTGGACTGTGTCCTGGGCAGCAGGGCTTCAGTGTGATTCTGTTTTGAAATCTTTCAGCCTCTGCTCTAGAACTCTTTCTGTTGAGTTGGCAGTGAGGGCAGTGATGTCTAGTCCCCCAGGCAAGCCTTGCTTCCTGGGCCTTAGAAGGCAGGTGTGGGTGTGAACGGCTCTGAAGACAGACAGAGCCCCAAAATCCTTCATGTCTGGAGTTGGAAGTCTTGAGTCCGCATCCTAGCCATTCCACCCCAGCTCTTTGACTCCTTGGATTTCTTTAAAGCTGTGTATTATCCACTTAGCAGAGGAGTCACATGAGAAACAGCGGAGTATGGAAACACTTAGGTGTAAGATCTCCACACGGGGTATTCACGTAGCCTGCCGTCTCCTAATCCCATTGCTTTGGGTGAGATTCCGAGTCTGATTTGGGGTACACAAGCATATTCATTCTGCTCCTGTTCTTTATTGGTCTGTTCTTAGCTATGTAAATTAGCTTTTATAAAAGAGGCGGCGCTAATGAAGCAAAGGATAAAAATGGCCTTGTTACACAGTTAAAAGGTGCAGTGTGATGAGATGCTGTGTGTGCCTTGCCCAAGATCATGCCTCAGATACCTGCCCTGGTGTCCAGGCACCTGCCCTTTAGTCCACCGAAGGTGACAGTGTTCAGTTGCTTGTGGGAGACTTCGGCTCACAGTGATTGCATCTGACTTCTCCTTTTGTGAACCTTCTCGATGCAGAATGACAAGCAGATTTTGTGCATTACAATGTTGCTCGGCCTGAATGACAGCAAGAACCATTTAGTGAAAGCTGCGACCTCCAGGGCCCTTGGCGTCTATGTGCTCTTCCCCTGTCTCAGGCAGGTGAGAGTAAGCCGGCTTGCCCTCCTCTGTCCCCTTAGATCCTTTACCATAGTGGATTTGTGAGCATGTAGCTTCCGCATTGAACAGTGAAGGAAATGAACCTGCTGTATAATCGGATTTCCTTAATTGCTACTACAATGTGCAGTACCTGTACTTCGTTTGTTAATTTGACACACTGCCTGGGACTGTAGTGTGTAGCAAATGTTTAATTAATGAATGATTAAAGATGAAAATGAGGACATTACCACATGGAAGTAATGACTGAGAAAGCTAATACCCAGTTTTCTAAGAAGGTAATGAAGTTTTCCTTTATTCTTGCGTGTGATGTTCATCTCTAAGAAGGGTGTGTAGTACAAAGAGTGTGTTTGGAAAATGCTTTCCCTGTCAGAATAATGTTGCAGGAGGTGGAAATCAACCCGAGCACAGAACACACAGGTAACTGTCACAGGCTCATGTTGAGTCCATAGATCTTTAGTTTCTAAATCAAAATTATCGTAAAGGCTGATAGCCTTCTGAAAATAAGCTGTGACGCTCAGAGGCAGCGCTGTGACCCCAGTAACAGAGCCTGGATTGTTGTTGCACAGGACGTCATATTTGTCGCAGACACAGCGAATGCTGTATTGATGTCACTTCGAGATAAGTCACTAAACGTGCGCGCCAAAGCAGCCTGGTCCCTGGGCAACCTGACGGACACTCTAATCGTCAACATGTAAGTGACTCGGCTTGCTTTCCCTGGGTGGCATCTGCTTCAGAATTCCTAAAAGGTGTCCTTACTATGAAAGAATTAGCAAAAATTCCCCCATATTATGCAGACAGTTTTACTTTGTTTTGATATTCCTTTAAGCAATAAACCTAGTAGGTTCTTACTATGTATTAAAATACATATTATTCTATAACAGTATATATATATTCAGAAATACCGTGTGCTGACATAGCTGTATACCCACATTGTAGAAAGTAGCACAGTAGAAATCTGAAACCTTAGTAGCAGTTGCCCTGCTCTTAGGATACAGAGGTTTTTTGTTTGTTTATTGTCAAATATGTTTACATACAATATATTTTAATCATGTTTTCCTTTAACTCAACTCCTCCCAGATCTCCCTCACCTCCCTATCCACCCAACTTCATGTTCTTGCTCTCTCTCTCTCTCTCTCTCTCTCTCTCTCTCTCTCTCTCTCTCTCTCTCTCTCTGTCTCATACACACACACACACACACACACACACACAAACCAAGAAACAAAAATCAAAACAAACAGAAAAAACAATAAGACAAAAATTACCCAAAAACCCCCCATGGAGTCCGCATTGTGTCATGAACTGCTCCTGAGCGTGGATGGAGCCTGCCCTGGAGTGTAGTTGATGTACCCAGTGAGAGTCCACTGGAGAAAGCAGGTTGTATTATTTAAGGAATACATTCACAGGTCAAAAGAATTGGAACAGTACAAAGGGGGATGTAGTGTAAAATCCGCCTCCTTCCTATAACACCGTCACATCCCTAGGGTGGCTGCTGGTATACTTTCTGTCACCTAATTCTACACAAGAGATGTGTGTAGCACACAGAGACATTCTCTACACCGAATGTTTAGTAAACACGTGTTCCACAGAGCCCTCCGCGGGACCCATTCTTTTCCATCCTCTTCTTGAATGGTTGTTTTACTTGGGCTTCTGGGTGTCTATATTGCAGTGAATACTTCCAGGCGTGAAATGTCCATCTTGAGATATCCCCTGTAGTTACATTCTTAAATGGGGAACTGTCCAATTGAAACTTAGGTGTGGTGGCATATGCCTGCAATCCCAGCACTCAGGAAGCTGAAGCAGGAGGATCACATATTTGAAGTCAACATAAGTTCTATATCAAGTTCCAGGCCAGCCTAAGCTCTATAATGAGGCCCTGTCTCAAAAACAAAAAGATGTGTAACTTCTCAGTATAATCTGAAAAGATCTGTCAAGCTGTTTTCCTGAAGTTTTTATCCTCATATACTTGGTGACTGTATCTTTGTGTGCACACATTTAAGTGATGTTTTCTTTTTACTCCACCATTTGCCATGGGTGGAACAGGGACTCACCAGACCCAAGTTTTCAGGATGAGTTCTCTGGGCTCCTGCTCTTGAAAATGTTGCAGTCTGCGATACAAGCCTCCACGGACAAAGACAAGGTATGCACAGGATATTGAGGGTGCGCACTTGTAGCCGCGCTGCTCCAGCGGGGTGGTCTGACGGTCATCAACCATCCAGCAGTGTTCGCAGGCACTCAGTATGCTGCCCACTCCATACTTGCACAGTTTATTCTAGTGCCTCCTGTCCCATAGAAAGTACCAGCATTCCCTCATCGTCATACTGCATGATAGATTCATGCTTATCTGTTACTTAAAAGGAAAGAAAGAGAAAATAAATCCTTAAATGGAATCAATAAGTAAGAAAGATAAAGAGCTTGCATGTGGCTGTTACATGGTACATTTAGAAAGCGTGGGCTCAGACACTGGGACAGCTGAACATGCACAGTTCCAGGTCTCATTTATTCCCTTGCTTTAAGACATGGAGGGTCTTTTCTAAAGTGGAATTTCTACTTTCTGAAACATCTCCAGCAAAATAACTCTGAGGCCTTTTATGTTTTATGCTAGGTCAAAAGCAATGCAGTCCGGGCCCTTGGGAATTTGCTTCACTTTCTACAGCCCTCTCACATAGAGAGACCCGGGTTTGCTGAAATCATCGAGGAATCTATCCAGACTCTGATTTCTACTGTTGTAAATGAGGCTGCCATGAAAGTCCGGTGGAATGCTTGCTACGCAATGGGGAATGTTTTTAAAAACCCTGCTCTTCCACTTGGTAAGCTGTTTTCCCTCTCTTTTCCTCTTGGGAAGGCATATGCCAGTCTGTGCTGTTGTTAAAAACGTTTGTGACAATGGTTTTTGTCCCAGGACTAAAAAACAGCAGGAATCCAGTTTAGTGGAAAGATGAAATAAGTCATTGTGTTTGATGGGGTGTTTTATTGCCATTTTTAAAGTATATTTACAAAGATCATTTTTATACTCTGAGAAAATACTTCATATGTTAAGCAAACTAAAACAGGATATTAACTTGTTTCTACAATGTCATCCCATTAAATACTTAGGAGAAAAGATGGGAAGGAAATTGGTCAAATCTACAGTGTTGCCTCTGGCAGAGAGGGCACAGGTTCAAATCTCACAAGTTCTGGGATCAGAAATAGATGCTATGGGCTTCTGTCCCCATCATACTGTCCCAAATACCATGAGCCTTGGTTGACATGTCATCTTGGGATAGTAATTTCTTCTGTGCACAGACCCTAGCCACTGGGAATGCCAGCACTGGCCCTACATCTCTGCCTCTGACAGCATTGGAGAGCTAAGGGTGTGCCCTTGGAGAGGGGAAAAACCATGTGGGCCCGCAGAGCAGGCACTGTGTGAGGGAAAGCTGGCCCAGTATCCTTACCTCCCAGGATGTCCAGGCAGAGCAGACCCTTGGAGACAGTGGAGAAGTTGCCTGGGGGCTGCAGAGCTGTGGGGAAGCACGTAAGAATGGAGCAGGAACAGGCTGGACAGTGAGATCTGAGGCCCTTGTAAATGGCACTGGTGTTCACAGAATGGAAAGAGTCTTTTTCTGGGGCAGCAAAGAAGGAAACAGGCTGAGAGAATTGCCATCCGTCTTGAGGAGTGAGACACATAAGCCAGAGTGGCTAGCACCACCTCTGAGGGGGTGGAAAACATGCTAATTGGGAGGGGGGCACAGAAATGGGAAAAAGACCATGTAAGCATCTTATTCTTGACATTACAAGTGTTCTTATGTCTTAACAATAAAATGCACAACGTGCTACAGTAAGTCGGTGCCTAGTGCTAGTCTGGGAAGGGAATACTCTTTTTACTAGCAGGAATGGGGCTGTTGCATGCCGTGTGCAGCCATGCACTGCCAGGAGCAGTTTGGGTACAGTGCCATCCATGCATCTCCCACCAAGCTTTGCCCCTTTGGACAGATAAAATCCTATTTGGGTAGCAGAGGCTTTGATCATGTTGCAGGCTTGTCTAGGGAAAGAGGAAAGTCAGAGGTCAGTATTCAGTCCCTTCCCTGGGATCCCACAGGTTGGCTTTCACTGCCCTGCTCTTATGAGGAGTCTGAGTCTCTGTTCTATTGCTGTGAAGAGACACCATGACCAAAGCAACTCTTATAAAGGAAAGTATTTAATTGGGGGCTTGCTTACAGTTTGAGAGGTTTAGTCCATTATCATCACAGCAGGATTGTGGTGGCACTCATGGAGCTGAAGTAGCAGCTGAGAGCTATATCCTGATCCACAAGCAGAGAGAAAGGCTAGGCCTGACATGGGCTTTTGAAACCTCAAAGCCCATCCTAAGTGACACACTTTGTCCAACAAGGCCACACCTCCTAATCCTTCTCAAATAGTGCCACTCCCTGATGACTAAGTATTGAAATATATGAGCCAGTGGGGCCATTCTTAACTCAAGTGGGGTTATGAGAGTGGGGTAAACACAAAATGCATGCTTCCTCCACCCCTCTCCTGCCCACCCTGCCTGTCTCTAAGCCTTCACTAGTTTCAGTGTCTGAATTCTTCCCAGGGTCAGCCCCATGGACCTCCCAAGCCTACAAGGCCCTGACATCGGTTGTGATGTCTTGCAAGAACTTCAAAGTGCGCATCAGATCTGCCGCAGCCCTTTCCATCCCAAGCCAGAGAGCACAGTACGGGTCTCTAGAACAGTTCGCTCAGATCTGGAATGCATTGGTCACTGCCTTGCAGAAGAGTGAGGACACCACAGACTTCCTGGAGTTCAAGTACTGTGCCAGCCTACGGACCCACATCTGCCAGGCACTGGTTCACCTCTTGAGCCTCGCCAGTGCCTCTGACCTCCCCTGCATTCTGGAAACTCTTGAGCTGAATGGGGAGATGATCCGGTCCTACATCCTACAGTTCCTAAAATCAGGAGCAGAGGGAGATGATCCCGGAGCAGTCCACACCCCACAGGAAAGAGACCAGATGGTCAGAGTGGCCCTGAAGTACATACGCAGAGTGCAGGCTCTGCCCGGAGACACAGCCAAGAGGGTCATTGTCGCCTTCTTAGAGGACATCCTGGCTGTTCACTGTGACTCCTCAGGAGGACAAGTGGCACTCCAGATCAGTGACCTTCACATGTAATAAATGGGAGTCAGAGACCAAGCTTGTGCATTTGATACATGGAGTTTAATTCTAGGGCAGGAACATCCGTCAGCGTTTATTTAGAATGGATTAGTGGCTATTTAACTTTTTCTCAAAGGGCTCAGTCACTTTGGGGCATGGTTCCATTACTGGCCATTCTAACCTAGACAACCAAGATATGAGGAGTCAAGGGTATATATAGTGTGGGCCCAGACAATTGGAGGTTGCTGTGGAATACTCATTCTGTACACTGTGAATATATATTACTCTCATTGGTTAATAACTGACTGGCCAGTAGCCAGGCAGGAGGTATAGGCAGGACAGCCAAACTGAGAATGCTGGGAGGAAGAAGGGTAGAGTCAGTGGAGTCGCCCAGAGACACAGAGGGAGCAAGATGTGCTGGAGGACAGGTAAAGCCACAAGCTACATGGCAGTACATAGATTAATAGGGTTAATTTAAATTGTAAGAGGTAGTTAGTAATAAGCCTGATCTATTGGCCGAGCATTTGTAATTAATCTAAGCCTCAGTGTGTTTATTTGGGAGCTGCTGACAGGATAGAAACTTCCGCCTAGAGAAGGTCTTGAAGTGTTTAGTCTCAGAAAGAAAGATGTGTAGAAACTAGAATCATATTAGAATTGTGTTTTCAAAACTGGTTTTAATAATAAACTGATTCAAAACAAAACCAAAAGAAAGGTAGCAGCAAGTGGAAGAGGTTCCTGTGCGGTGTGCTGGCAGCTGCAGCAGCTGCAGAGCTCCTCCACGAGTGCCCCTTGATGAGTGTGCAGCTGCCCACCCGGCATCGGCATGCATCCAAGGCCCTTCCACCTCCCCGTGGTCCAGGAGCCTGGCCCTCAGTACCAACTTCTGTCTGAATTCACAGCTGACCTTGGGAATAACATGGTCCTATACACTAAATATGGCTGTTTGACCTTTTAATTTGTATCTTTAAAAAAGGTTATTTGTGTAATTTAGATGTTTTCAAGGATTTTTTAAATTATATTTATTAATATGAAGTATCTGTTAATTTCTTGCTGAATAATTGTTTACATTTAGATTTTGCACTTGTCTCTTGACCACCAACAATTTAGTAAAATTATTTCCATCAGAAATGTAGGGTTAGCCGGGCGGCGGTGGTGCATGCCTTTAGTCCCAGCACTCAGGAGGTAGGACAATCTCTGTGAGTTCGAGACCAGCCTGGTCTACAGAGCGAGATCCAGGATAGGAACCAAAAGTATACGTTGAAACCCTGGTCTTGAAAAAAAAAAAAAAGAAAGAAAGAAAGAAATGTAGGGTTATAGCCCAGTAGTGGTGGCGCACGCCTTTAACCCCAGCACTCGGGAGGCAGAGGTAGGCAGATCTCTGAGTTCAAGGCAGCCTGGTTTACAGAGTGAGTTCCAGGACAGCCAGGGCTGTTACACAGAGAAACTCCATCTCAAAAAAAAAAAGAAAGAAAAGAAAAAAGAAATGTAGGGTTATATAAAAACAAACCACACATATATTTGATGTGGGATACATTAAAAAATGTAGAGATTTAGTTCTGGTGATATTTGTTTAATTATTGAGACTTAAGCTAGGCGTGGTTGCACATTTCTTTAATCCCAGCACTGTGGAGGCTGAGGTAGAAGAATGGTGAGCTTGAGGCCAGCCTGGGCTATGTGTAGCAAGACTATCTCAGAGAACTGAAGTGATGCTAGATGTGGTGGTCCACACCTTAAATCCCTGCACTTGAGGATGCTAAGGCAGGAGGGCCTGTCTCAACAAATAAACAAACAAAGAACTAGAATTTGAATCCCTAGTAACCACCAGAAAGCCAGGTGGGCACGATGTTAGCAGAGACAGGATCCCCCAAGCAAGCTCTGGGTTCATTTGAGAGATCCTGCCTGGGTGAATATGGCGGAGACCAATTGAGGAAGAGTCCTGACTCCACCTCAGGTGCTCACACATGCGCGCGCACACACACACAAGAAATAAGACAAATACATAGCTTAAAATACATACTTGAGGGCATGCTTTTTTCCCCTCTCGTCTATCCCAGTGGCACATCAACTGTTGTGTAGACAGTGGTTGGGGACCATAGCACTCACACGGACTAGAGTCTTCATGTTCCATTGGTAGAGGGCTAGCCGCTCCAAAGGGGCCACCTTCGCGTGAGGTTCCCACATAGACCCCTCTGTGAACTTGCATCCCCGCAGAGGTGATTCTGAAATGGATGGCCGCAGGGGGCTCCAGGGGTCGAGCTGAACCTGCCCTGGCCCTGCATGACTCTTTCACATCCTTGGGATTTCCTTCTCCTCCATGCAGTCTCAGCAACGGCTTCTTCAACACGTTTTCATAAGAGTGAGAATTTGACGTATCCTCTGGGCTTTGAGATTTTGCCCCTGTGTTTCTTGGTGAAAATATTTGTGAAACAGGATCTGATGGGTTCGTTTAATGATCTGCTCCTGTCCTTGGCTTACCTTGAATAAAATTTCACATTTCTTTGTAACCCTTTGGTTTCTGGGTCTATGGAATGGATGTCAGTGTCCCCCTAAAGGAAAAATGTAAAAGTACCTCTAAGATGTTTCAGGTGTCTGGGTCCCCACTTCTGTCTTCAGGGGACAGATTCTCTCTCTGGCATCCTGGGCCTGTAGCACAAGAAAATGCTTTTCCCAGGCCACATGGTACAGGAGCAGCGGGTCCAACACTTGACCACCCAGACTGCAGCAATAGAATTTGCTGTAATACTGAGACAGCAGAAAGGTGGCAGATTTGGAATAGCACTAAAACTCCAGACTCCAGTGTGGATCGGTGCTTACCTCCCCTATGTGAGGCCCTGGGGTTGATCCCCAGTACCACGTAAGACATGGGCAATCCTGTCACCTTGCCACTTGGAGCAGGTCTGTGAGGGGAGGTTCAGGGAGAATTAACTCAGGCCCCTCCCACAGAGGGCAGCACCTTCCGGGAGAACCCAGGTACAGAGAGCCGAGGGGAAATTAGTGCTGCTCACCTGCCTGCCTGCCTGCCTACTTAGTGTCTGGCTTAGCATCTGTCTCCTCCTCTCCCCACAATCCCCTCCCGGCTCCTGCCACTTCTTGCTGGTGTCAGACTCCAGCTTCTCCAGCCTCCCAGCATGGACAGAAGACCACAGCTCTCCAGGATCTTCTTGCCTTCAGCACCAGATTGAGACTCTGGCATTCAGCTTCATGGAGTGAGCAGGGACCGAGTTCTCAGCCTCTCCACTGTGAAGATGGCCATTGGCCATCTAGTCCCTACTGCAGAAGCCATTCTAGTACATTTCTTATGGCATGTACATTCTTTGACTCTAGAGAACACTGCCTAATACAACAAAGCCTCTAGACTTTTAGGTATTTAATAGTTAGAGACCAAGGCTAGAGGGACAGCTCAACATTTAAGGGCCTTTGTTGCCCTTCCAGAGTACCCCAGTTTGATTCCCAGGACCCACACAGCAGCTCACAACCATTTGTAAACTCCAGTCCCAGGGAACCCAAAGCTTTCCTCTGGCCTCTGCAAGCACCAGGCACACACAGACACAGAAAATAAAAATAAATCTTTTTAAAAAATAAAAGAGGTACAGTGGCCTTCATTCATTAGACTAACAGCAGTGTGACGTCACTTCTCAGCCTTTCCTTTGTCCAGGGAACCTGCCAACTGCCCACTTGTAGAACCCCCAAAGGCACCCACTTGTCACCTGAGCAGTATTAGTGAGTGGGAAAAGAGGTGCCCTGTGGTGATCCAGTGGATGGGAATCTGGCATACTGAGGAAAGAATTCCTGGATTTTGATGGGTTTGGGCAGCCACACCTCCCCATCTCCCTAATGTAAGCTTGATGAGTATTAAGATCGTCGGTACAGTTCAGTGAGCAGAAGTCCTGGCTCTGTGATTTCAATCTGCCAATTATTTAACATCCTCCCTCTCATTCCTCCATCTGTAAGATGGGAAACAAGCACTGACCTCATAAGGGGGTTGCCATGGTGATTAGTCAGTACAAGGGAAGCCCTTTAGAACAGGCCCTGACATGCCATACCTACGCCCTCGCCCTTGCAGAGCACTGGACAGAAACAGTCAACAAGCCATGGGCCTCTGTGCTGGCAGATGCGAGGTCCCCCTCAATGTCATCTCACAGGACTGTTAGCTAGACTGCCCGGAACCTGGATCCAGCAGTGGAGAGAGATGCCACCACAGGACAGACTCTGGCCTGCTCCAGGTCCCTCGAAAGGAAGAAGGAAGGAGCTTGAAGCAGAAGAGCCAGCATACTTTCCAGATCTAGTTCTGGACCCATCCCACATGCCAGGCCTCAGAAACCACAGCTCCAGCTCTAAATTCCGGAAGTCACCAGGCCTCTAAAGGACAGCTCTGCTACGTAACTACTGTGTCCTCAGGAGAATTACTTGTCCACTTAGATATGAAGTTGGGACATTTGGGGAAGCTTTGCGGAGGTGTTGAGGAGCAGGTCATGGGACATAGCCTGACAGAGAGCAGCACTCAGGAATAAATGGTGCCTTGGCCTTGTTTTCTTTGGCTTCCTCCTTGCACCTGAATATCCTCGGTCCTGGGTACCAGATCCTGAAGAAGAAAGTCTGTCTGCCCCTAGTCCTTCAGTCCTCCCAGTCCTTCAGTCCTCCAGTCCTGTAATCCTCCCAGTCCTCCAGTCCTCTCAGTCCTCCAAATCCTCCCAGTCCTCCAATCCTCACAGTCCTCCAAACCTCCAGTCCTCCAGTCCTCCCAGTCCTCCCAGTCCTCCAGTCCTCCAGTCCTCCAGTCCTCCAGTCCTTCAGTCCTCTCAGTCCTCCAGTCCTCCAAACCTCCAGTCCTCCCAGTCCTCCAGTCCTCCCAGTCCTCCAGTCCTCTCAGTCCTCCAGTCCTCCCAGTCCTCCAGTCCTCCAGTCCTCCAGTCCTCCAAACCTCCAGTCCTCCCAGTCCTCCAGTCCTCCAGTCCTCCAGTCCTCCAATCCTCCAGTCCTCCAGTCCTCCCAGTCCTCCAATCCTCCCAGTCCTCCAATCCTCTCAGTCCTCCAGTCCTCCAGTCCTTCAGTCCTCTAGTCCTCACAGTCCTCCAGTCCTCCCAGTCCTCCAATCCTCCAGTCCTCCAATCCTCCAGTCCTCCAGTCCTCCAATCCTCCAGTCCTCCAAACCTCCAGTCCTCCCAGTCCTCCAGTCCTCCCAGTCCTCCAGTCCTCTCAGTCCTCCAGTCCTCCCAGTCCTCCAGTCCTCCAGTCCTCCCAGTCCTCCAGTCCTCCCAGTCCTCCAATCCTCCCAGTCCTCCAATACTCTCAGTCCTCCAGTCCTCCAGTCCTTCAGTCCTCTAGTCCTCACAGTCCTCCAGTCCTCCCAGTCCTCCAATCCTCCAGTCCTCCAATCCTCCAGTCCTCCAGTCCTCCAGTCCTTCAGTCCTCTCAGTCTTCCAATCCTCCAGTCCTCCCAGTCCTCCAGTCCTCCAGTCCTCCAAACCTCCAGTCCTCCCAGTCCTCCCAGTCCTCCAATCCTCCAGTCCTCCAGTCCTCCAGTCCTCCCAGTCCTCCAGTCCTCCCAGGCCTCCAGTCCTCCAGTCCTCCAGTCCTCCCAGTCCTCCAGTCCTCCCAGTCCTCCAATCCTCCAGTCCTCCAGTCCTCCAGTCCTCCAATCCTCCAGTCCTCCAGTCCTCCAGTCCTCCAGTCCTCCAGTCCTCCCAGTCCTCCAGTCCTCCAGTCCTCCAGTTCTCCAGTCCTCCCAGTCCTCCAGTCCTCCAATCCTCCAGTCCTCCAGTCCTCCCTCCAGTCCTCCAGTCCTCCAGTCCTCCAGTCCTCCAAACCTCCAGTCCTCCAGTCCTCCCAGTCTTCCAAACCTCCAGTCCTCCAGTCCTCCCAGTCCTCCAATCCTCCAGTCCTCCAGTCCTCCAGTCCTCCCAGTCCTCCCAGTCCTCCAGTCCTCCCAGTCCTCCAGTCCTCCCAGTCCTCCAATCCTCCCAGGCCTCCAGTCCTCCAGTCCTCCAGTCCTCCCAGTCCTCCCAGGCCTCCAGTCCTCCAGTCCTCCAGTCCTCCCAGTCCTCCAGGCCTCCAGTCCTCCAGTCCTCTAGTCCTCCCAGTCCTCCAGTCCTCCCAGTCCTCCCAGGCCTCCAGTCCTCCAGTCCTCCAGTCCTCCAGTCCTCCCAGTCCTCCAGTCCTCCAGTCCTCCAGTCCTCCAGTCCTCCCAGTCCTCCAGTCCTCCCAGGCCTCCAGGCCTCCAGTCCTCCCAGTCCTCCAGTCCTCCAGTCCTCCAGTCCTCCCAGTCTCTTTGTGGGTGATAAAACAGTAAAATGCAGATTCCTTTTCCACTCAGAACTCCTCTTCAAAACTAGAGAGGAGGCACTGGAGAGACGGCTTGGGGGTGGAATACTCTATGTTCTTGTAGATAACATGAGTTCGGTTCCCAGCACCCACATCTGACAGTTCATAGCCTCCTATAACTCCAGCTCCAGAAGATGAATTTAGTACTCTCTTCTGGCTCCATGGGCACTCACTTTTGCACACAAACCCACACTCACACACACATACACATGTAATTTAAATTTTTAGTTGGAATCTATTTTTAATATATGTAAAAATAGGAAGAATTAAAAGGTAGTCCATTAGCTGGGTGTGGAGGTGCACGCTTTTAATCCCAGCACTTGGAAGGCAGAGGCAGGCAGATCTCTTGTGAGTTTGAGGCCAGCATGGTCTACAGAATGAGTTCCAGGACAGCCAGGACTATATTGTGAGACCCTGTCTACAAAAAACAAAAGGTTGGCCGGGCGGTGGTAGCACACGCCTTTAATCTCAGCACTCAGGAAGCAGAGCCAGGTGGATCTCTGTGAGTTCGAGGCCAGCCTGGTCTACAGAGCAAGTTCCAGGACAGGCTGGTCTACAGAGTGAGATCTAGGACAGGCACCAAAACTACACAGAACCCTGTCTAAAAAAAAAAAAAAAAAAAAAGAATTAATGACCAATGTGATTAAAACAAAATAACATCTAAAAAACATTTTACAAAAGATTCTAAATAATCATTTCTTACATAAAGCCGGTCTGAGATACAACATATGCAGAAACCCAAGAAAATGAACTCAGAAAAATAATAAAATATATAAGGGCTCATAAGGAAGCTGGCTAAAAAGTAAATATGCCAAAATCTGTAGCCTTTATATATATCAGCAATAATCAATTTGATTTTTTAGGTTAACATTCACAGCGGTAACATGAATAATAAAGTACCGAGAAATAATATGATGAAAGTCTTTGTACACATTTTATGATGGAAATAAAAAATGTTCCTGAAGGTCATAAAAGAAGACACAAGAGAAAATGTATCATGTTCCCAGGCTGAAGAACTCAATAGTATAAAAAAATCTATAAATGTATATTTTTATCAGGATCAAAATTAGATTTTGTGTGTGCATATCTTTGTTGTGTGTGTCTGTGTGTGTGTGTGTGTGTGTGTGGTGGTGGTGTTTGTGTCAGGTGTGTGTGGTGGTTGTGTATATGTGATAGGCATGTG